CAGAGACTGGGGACATAGTACAGGAGAGGGTCAGAGACTGGGGACATAGTACAGGAGAGGGTCAGAGACTGGGGACATAGTACAGGAGAGGGTCAGAGACTGGGGACATAGTACAGGAGAGGGCCAGAGACTGGGGACATAGTACAGGAGAGGGTCAGAGACTGGGGACATGTTTCAGGAGCTGGAATTGGGTCCTCTGGATAAGTGAAGGAAATCACTGCAGGGGGCCCAAAGGTTGGAACGCCCGGGCCCTACAATCTGATTGGACGATATGCCGGATGGGGGTCGGGGAATGTAACCATGTGGTAATGAGTAGACAGATGATTCTCGCAGACACTTAGGGCCCCCAGGGGCCCCGTCCTCCTGTATTGTACTCACACTGGTGATCACTTTGCCGGATCTGTTGCGCTGTGTGACGGTGACCCCGAGCCGCTCTCCTCCCTCGGTCACATCGATGACGGAGTCACAGACGGTCCGCACACATCTCACCACGCCGGGATCATGTACATCTACGTGCAGCAATGACAGGAAGTGCACGTCATGTGACCCTACCAGGGGGAGGAGCAGAGAGTGTTAGTGATCTCAGTGCTGAGTCACAGCCATACAATCAGAGTGTGACCTCTGCTTACCACAGACAGCACCGGGGTCATGGCTCAGACAGTGTATGTAGAACAGCCAATCAGGAGGGATACCCAGGAGGGCGGGTGGCATACACATGGGGCGTGGCATACACAAGGGGCGTGGCATACACATGGAGGGTGCTCGGTGTTGCTCACCTTGCTGGGGGCGGGTCAGGTCTCGGAGGGTGTGGCAGACGGAGGGGAGGGGACATCGGGCGAGGATCCAGCTGAGAGAATCCAGGACCACGGTGACCGGGGAGGCCGAGCGGCTCAGCTGATCTCTGATTGTCTCTGCGGTGAAATCTTGCGGCGTCAACGACCCGGAACCCGACCGCCAGCACCGAGGATCCGAGAAACCATCATGGAGGGTGAGGCTGCGAGGAGACGACACTGTGACCTCCCGACCTACACCCCCATACTACAACCACCATCATCTCCCCACCGACAGCCCC